CGTACCTGCTAACGCTTACACATGCAAACTGATCAGGCCTTAAAAACTCTCTGGGACTGAAAGCATTAAAGAAAGCATGAAGCTGAAGAACAACTCCAGCTCAAATACACACAAAAACATTGTTGGCGAAGATAAAATATCAACTGTACAACTACTGCAACCATCACACCGTGATAACACAGTCAAGTTAAAGATATCAATGAAGCAGTTATGCGGAAAATAAAGTACTTTAAAAAAAAACAAAAATCAGTAAAATAGATGAAAATAAAGGATTTCACATGTGGCTGTCAATAAACTGAAATAGTAAGTATGGCTTGGTTGTGGAGATAAAGGGTTTTTATCATAAATATTTATTACATGACACAACTTTGGCTCAGGTTGTAAAACATAAACTGTTGTATAAATGCAAGTTTTTTGGGATAACATTATGAAATAATTCACACACACAAAATATGTACAAAGTCAGTATGGAACAAGTCTAACAAATGTAGGCTTCAGAATAAATACAAACTTCAACCAATCAAAGAAATTTCTTCTTGTGGTTTTTTTTTCAAGTGCAGTTCTTAACTGCTGAAAATGAAAGTTAAAAAGTTTATTTTAAAAAAAAAAGCAGCAGTAAGGCTGCAAAAACTTAACTTTCTTCTTCTTCTTCTTCAGCATTCCGAGCCCTTGAGGTTCAGTGCTGCAGATATCTCCCGCCTCCATTCATCTCTCTGGTTGGCCTTCTCTTTCCAGTTGGTAACACTGAACTTTGGGAATCATTAATCATCATTCAGTAAGATCTTTTTTAAAACATCATTCCTATCAGAGCATGACTGAAACCTTTCGATCCCTTGTCGCAATGGCTAAGTTTTATTTCCAAAATGTGTCTGCCTTTATTGCTAGTTGACCTATGCAGCTTTTTTCAGAAACCATTCTTTCCAGTACTGTTCTTTTTTAAACCACAGTGGCTTTTAGTTTCACTGAAATATTTGTTAGTAGTAATTTAAACAGTGATATCTTCTTGTACCCATTTGGGTGAAGTATCTGGTACTTGTCGTTTAAACAATGACATCTTGTTGAACACATTTGGCTGAAACTGGTTAAGTTAGTTGCCTATCCTTTACAGGACACTGCAGAACTAACCCCAGCATTTTTTGGTTGTTGTGGTTTTTCTAGGCAAATTTTACATCCAGTAGTTTGCCATTGCCTACTGAAAGATCAGCTCTTGATACCACTGTCAAAAACAATGCAAGACAATTCGTTTGCAGCTGGGATTGAACCCGGCACCCCGGCATTAGCAAAGGGGATTGGCAATGCTTAAGCCACAGACGCAAATGAAGTATCCGGTACTAGTCACATAAACCAGTGTTCTTCAACACATGGGCCTCGGCCCACTGTTGGGCCACGAAAAAGACCTGGCGGGCCCCCAACAATTTCTGTCTAACCATGTAATAGGGTAGAGTAGATAGTTTTCACACAGGTACAAATCCAAACAACCCTGTTAAAACACATAAAAGTTATATTATGGCACCCAACAGTTGATATTTCTGTCTTTGGTTAGCTGTCAGGTGGTAGGAAAAACAATCTCCTCTGATCTGGTGGGCCACAGGTGTAACTAATTTGAGAAACACTGATTTAAACAACAATGTCCTGTTCAAGCCATCTGGCTGAAGTGTCTCAATTTCTCAGACAAGATGCTGTTTATGAGGCAGTTTTCTCCAATGTTCAGATCTTGTTGAATGTCAGTGTTTTAATTCTTCTTGATCCATGTGTCTATCACATTTAAGTTGAAAAGCCTTGATTTTTTTTCTTCAGTCAATGCAAAATGGTCCCAGATTCACATCCATACAATATGCATTAATAAACACACAACAGATAATTAAAGCATGTACAAAGGCATTGAAAACACCAGTTCTCCTCTCTTCTCTCCCCCCCTCTCTCTCTGTCTCTCTCTCCACATTTACACATTTTTCAACATATATCTTTGTTTAGACAACTCTTAACTTCCATTAACATCAGGACTGTTTGCAATCAAATGCAGAGTTACCCATCTTGGATGGTCACACTGTTGAGAATCAAATTTTGTAGGGTGACCAATTCTATTTGGAAGTCTCCTACTTATGTTAATAAAAACTACTGTATTATTCTGTAAATTCCATCTTTGTGGACACTTAATCTCTCTCTGTCTTACTATGTATGTATATGTGTGTGTTTATGTGATTAGTCACACATCCTAATGCATTTTAAGGGGCATACAAATAAGAACATATGATGATGTGTTTCAAAGGCTGTAACAATTACAACACATCATTATGTGTCATACAGTCAGAACAAATCTTGTTGTGTCTTGAAGACATAACAATCAGAACAAATCTTGATGTGTCTTGAAGACATAACAGTCAGAGCAAATCTTGAGGTGTCTTGAAGACATAACAATCAGAACAAATCTTGATGTGTCTTGAAGACATAACAGTCAGAGCAAATCTTGATGTGTCTTGAAGACATAACAGTCAGAACAAATCTTGATGTGTCTTGAAGACATAAAAGTCAGAACAAATCTTGATATGTCTTGAAGACATAACAGTCAGAGCAAATCTTGAGGTGTCTTGAAGACACAACAGTCAGAACAAATCTTGATGTGTCTTGAAGACATAACAGTCAGAGCAAATCTTGAGGTGTCTTGAAGACATAACAGTCAGAGCAAATCTTGATGTGTCTTGAAGACATTAAAGTCTGAAGAAAACCTCGACAATCCTTCTCAACAGCACATTAGTCAGAACATTGACTAGCAATCCTTCACAATGACAAACTCAACTCCTTCCAACTTGGAGTGCATATGCCTAAGAAGTGAGGAACCAACAGTCTGCATATAGATAAGCACACAAAACTCAGGTCCTGGAACAAAGCCAAAGCCAGGAAATGGATGAGCAACTAGAACAACCAACTGGAGTATACAGCTTGTGAAAACGCAAACAAGTATACCCATTAAAACATACAGTGACCATTTTTCTTGATGGAACACTAAAACATATCTATTCGATGATTTTCATGAACTGACATGAAGAATAAATGATTATTTTGTAATAAGTCGATCATCAAAAGTGTTAAACAATATTTGATGTGAAAACAGGTAATAAAAAGTATTTGTGGAGTTATTATAAATTAATGACATGTTGAGAACCTTAAAATTCATGATTCTTTGTAGCTCCAAAGAAGAAAACCCACAACTGCTTTGGTACTGTAAATTTCAAAACTACAGCTCAGAGATTTACTTCTTTTTCTATGAAATGCTGCATTCTTTTTAGCAGAGCTCAATAAACTGTACGGATGAAAAAATCATTACATGATTACTATAAATACCTGAAATTGGCCATGCCTTAATTCATGATATTTTTGAGGCTAAATACCAAACATCACAATTCATGAACCTTCATTTCAAAAGATGTGTTTTCTAGTATAATGCCGACCTGATAAGGAGAACTCACTGGGGACACAAGAAATAGTTATTCTTATCAAAAATTCCTTTTATGCAGATAAGAGTTCAAGCAAGAAAAATTGTCAGGCACAAACAAATTGTTCTTCACAGCAGAAATTTGCCACATCCAAGATTGCCTCAAGTGGTCTGTACTGATCTGTTTCATTCTAGTATTTGATCTTTTTGTACCAGTACATTAAATCTGAAGCAATTTGATTTAGTTTCACCAATGTTTCCTAAACATTTCTTAGTCGCCGCGATATTTTTCGTTTAACAATTTTTCACGGTGCCCTAACCTAAGTAAAAGTATGACTATTCGTATGAAAGAAAAAAAAAATTGCGTGTGTCTTCAAATATATCGCGGCACCCCTGTGAAGAGGTCGCGACTCCCCGGAGCACCGCTGCGCACAGTTTGGGAATCACTGGTTTACACAATGTTAAAGGATGGCCAGGTAAGTGATGGATCAATGGAATAACTAGCCATGAATATCAGCATTTATACAGCATTTATACAGCATTTTAGAGATAAGAAGAAGAAGTACACACGGACTAGAGATAAGAAGAAGAAGTACACGGACTAGAGATAAGAAGAAGAAGTACACGGACTAGAGATAAGAAGAAGAAGTACATGGACTAGAGATAAGAAGAAGAAGTACACGGACTAGAGATAAGAAGAAGAAGTACATGGACTAGAGATAAGAAGAAGAAGTACACGGACTAGAGATAAGAAGAAGAAGTACATGGACTAGAGATAAGAAGAAGAAGTACATGGACTAGAGATAAGAAGAAGAAGTACATGAACTAGAGATAAGAAGAAGAAGTACATGAACTAGAGATAAAAAGAAGAACATAATTCACAGTTATTTATTCATATTTATAAACATGCTGCAAGGTATAAGTATTGCAGCCAGGTTGTAAATGGGCACAGCACATTTATGTCTGCGGATGAATGCAGACCGAGAAGAAGAAGAAGAAGAAGAGGAAAAGAGACTAGAGAAAATAAGAATACACTTAAATTTATTCAATCATATTTATATATAAACATGCCCTGATGTTGATTTGCCAGAAACTAGTAGATTTATCATGATTTTTCTCATTTTAGACAATATTATCATCATCATGTTCAGCTTTCACAATAATAACTTCAGCTAGCTTATACTTAGCATGGTTATTGATGTTGTTCTGCAACTTTACTGAAGTGCTCTTTTTTTAAATCTATATCCGGCGTTCTGATCTTTCTAGTTTATTTGCTCTGTTTCAATATTAACAAACCAGTCCTAACAGTGTCATCTTCATGAAAACCTCCACCACTGCCACTACCACCATAGGCATCAACATCATTATCAGTGGCAATGTTTCCATTACAATTACTCTCATCAGACTCGACATTTTCAAACAAACTCTTGAATGTTTTCTTGATCTTCATACCTCAGTGGTAGTAACTGGTAGGAACTCAATGGTGGTAATATCACCATTGTGCTTTTACTATTGAAAAAACATTTTCACCACAGTCTTCACATCGGTTGAATGTCATCAAGCGTTATTATTTGCCTTTATTTGCAAGTTCATGGGCCAGCTGGTAATACTTGGAGAATTTTGCTGTGTGATCTAAAGGTAAGTACACATATGGGCTCATGTTAAAAGCTTCTTTAATCCCATATTTTTTAACACTGGATAAATGACATCTGCTCAGGTGATAGCGATATGAGCCTTTGGAAGCAAATTTTCTATTACAAGCTGCACACTTGTACTCTCGGAGATCTCCTTCGCTAGCGCCACCTTCAGTAGCAGCTGGATCGCTCTCCTCATTCTCATCACTGCTACATCCCCCACTGCTAGCATTGACACCTCCTCCTTTGGAAGTCAGGTTGAGAGGTGCTGAGATGTCCACAGTTAAACACTTACTGGGAGCAACTGCTAAATATTTGTGAGGATCGGCTGTGAGGTGTGTGAGGTCATTAGTGGACAACAGTCTGTGTAGACTGTCCAAAGGATGTTCACTGGTCAGTGGCTGGCTGTATACAAATGAACTTAAGGAGTCTAAAGCTGACTTCTTCTCTTGCTTGTCCCCATCTCCCGAGTTCTTGCTGGCAAGCTGGCTAAATACAGGATTGTCTTCTGGCAACTTTGTTGACTTGTCCATGCTATCACTACCTGGTGTTTTCAGCACATGCAGCTCGCCGTTAGGATCCACAGCTGCTTCATTCTCCTTCCCTGATGGTTTCAATGCTGTGCTGCATTTTCTGCCAAAGTGGAATTCTGACCCATATCTTTTGTGACGTTCCTGTTGATTTGATTCTTCTTTTTTGAGGTTACACTCCTGTTTTTCTTCCTCATTACTTACATTATCACTGAGGTCGTGTGGTTGCTTTCTCAAGGAATTCATGATTTTTACACTATCTGTTTTTTCAACATACTCTTCAGAACATGTAGGTTCATTATTTTTTTGCTCCTTATCAACATCACCAGCATTATCTTCAACTTTTACAGCAACAACCTCAGACTGATTGTGAAGTATACTATTGGTGTGAAGCTGTTCTGCAGTATTTAGACTTCCTCTAATTGAATCTATTTCCCGTGTTCTGATCTTTCTTCTCTCTTTGTTCCTTTTCATTATTACTAATCCACTCCTAATAGCTGCATCATCCCCATCATCACCACTAGCAACATCATCATCATCATCAGTGTCAATATCTCCATCACAATTGTTACAGTTACTTTCATCAGACTCTCTGTTCACATTTTCAAACCAGCTCTTCTTCCGCAGAAAAGATAACCGATTAGCGAAAGCAGGTAGGTCATCAGCAGCATCTTCACTTCTTCCTTGTACATCGACTTCCTCGTTATACCTGATGTTGAGAGAAGGCTTAGAGGAATGCCAGCTTTCATTATTGTCACCAGCTTCCTCCTTGATGCTCTTGTCTGCATGATGATCCAAACTGTCCACCTTACCATCTGTTACTAGTAAATTTTCATGCATGTCTTTTTCATTCTTTGCTTCCAGTTCTTCACATATGGGTTTCTTCTTTAGTGATGAATCTCGAACATTAGAGTCTTTAGAGCCCTCTTTTATGGAGTCATTTGCCCTTTCATGTTTCATTCTATCAATTGACATCTCTTCTGTGACATCTGTCAGCTTTTCTGGCATGCAGACTGTTGCAGATTCCGATTTTAAATTATCATCATATAAAATAAACTGAGAAATCTCAACTTTTTCATGACATTTGTGAGCCTCTTCAGGCGAAGAACTACTCTCTTCATTCATCTTACCCTCAGTCTCATCATTCACATGTCTCTCATCTCTTTCATCTGTAAATTCATCCTCAAGTTTAATGTTTCTCATCTTTGATTTACCATCTTCTTGATCAAATATGCCTTCACTTCTTCTTTTCCTCTTTGGTTCATCTAGAGATCTGTCAAAGTCAGGTTGAAGAATCATCATGTCTTCCAGCTTAGAATGCCCCAAATCATCAATCCATGCATCCCGTTTATCCGAGGACTGAGGTAAATCTTGGGAGTGGATCTGGTTTCTGATGGAAGAGTTTAAACTGGCCACTGCATTAACATTACTGTACTTATATTTCCTGGAAATGGAAGCATTGTCTATATTTCTGCTCTCTGAGAATCTATGAGTATGGTTATTTCCAGGTGCAGCATCTGAAGCGAACTTCACCACAGGGACTTTGATCGTGGGCGATATGTTATTTGGTTTGTTCGTGGTGCTTTTTTTATTGAGAAAGACAGATTTGTCTTGGGGGATTACCGATCGAGGTTCAGACAGCGATGGTGATGGCAGTTGAGATTGTACCCCTTCTAATTTTTTATTATCTACTGAATGAACTGTTTCGGGAAACTGTGGTATACCTGGGACCATTCTGAAGAATTTTGAGAATTTGGCAAAGTGAGAAAAGGCCCTGTCTGATGACTCTGGCACCATAACGCTCTGTCCTGGCAAGGTTCCTGGAAGGGGGAAGCAATTTCGAAATGGGCTGAACATGGAAGCTAAGTTGGACGAGCGTAAATCCGACTTGACACTGAAACTTTTGTGGATAAATGATTCCATTGCTTCTAATGCGGATGAAGATGATTCTGTGCCCCAGAATCTGCATTTGGGTCAATGATGTCAAAGGTGATATCCTTCTTGAGTGGATCAGGGGACTCTGTTTTTGCCTGTGAAAGTGGAGAGGCAGGGACAGGTTGAGGAGATCTGGTTATGGATGAAGTGGACTCCTTTTTCTTTGAAGCTCTGGATGACTGATGTGAATGTGATTTGGATTCAGGTGAAATGGTTCTTTTGGGTGGAGAAAATGTTAATCCGCGTGAAAACATATCAAGCTTATGTAAGGCAGAAGAGGTAAAGTCTACAGGTTTCCCAGTAAACTCTTGGATAAAGTCTGCACCCAGTCTATCCTTCTTCCTCACACTGTTGCAATCTTCCTTCTCTGAGTCCATTTCTGAAAGTTTTCTTTTCTCTCCAACTCCAGGACTCAGTGTAGATTTTCCCTCTTGTGGTATCTCTTGACCAGGACTTTCTCTTTTAGCAAACTGGTGATTATTGCAGCTGACATCTGCTACTGGCAGCTGAGATGTTTTAACATTCAGACTACCTGGACTAGCATCCTCTTCCTTAACTGCCACATGTCTGGACTCACCGTTAGAACAATGCCATGTTTTTAGAGGCACTTCTGTTAGATCACAAGTTTTAGCATTGGGCTCGCCAGTCTTTGATAAAGTTTCTTGTTCTACCACACCCGAGTTGTGTTTTTGACCAGCACAAGTGTTCTCATTCTCTGATTTGATCTGACTGTGGAAACTCATGTGGTTATCATCAAGATTCTTCTCACAGTTTTTCTCATAGTCATCACTTAGAAATGACTCTTTACCTCTGGAGCCAGCAATGACTGACACATTTTCTCGCTGGCCCGAGAGTGAGGATAGTTTGAACCCTGACCTGAGTAGCTTACTTTCAGATCTTGATAAAAGTGCTTCCTCAACAGCCAGCTTGTTCTTGAGGGCGTCAATAACTTCCGCTCTATGTCTCAAGCAGGCTCTGACATGAGAATCAAAATCACCTGGGCCCACACTTTTACCACAGCTATCACACGGAAACAATCTCTGTGCCTCTGGTGATCTTGCTCTAGGTTTCATCTCAGCGTGAAAACCATTCATCATGCTCATTGCTTGTTTTTGCCTGTACTCCAACAATGAGGCAACTGTGGAGGCGCTGGTTCCAGAAATAGCAGCTGAGGCAATGTCATCAGGTAAAAACCGTTTGCGTCTTCCCTGTCTGACTATTGATGAGGAGGAGGAGTCAGAAGGCAGGTCTGCAGTACTTGGAATATGGCGTGATGACTGCTTCTTATGATGACCTGAAACTATCATATGATTTGCAAGCCCTTCCATATCAGTGAAAGCTTCATGGCAGACTTTGCATTTAAAGATACACTCTTTGTCCAGTTCTCTGTCACAGTAAGTAGAACATTTGTGAGACCTCCTGCCATGATCTGAAGTGACAATCTTTGTGTAATGCTGGGTCTGCATCATGTGTACAGTCAACAGTGGCAGAGATTTGAAGGACTCGCCACACTGCATACAGCGAAGGATGCGACGAGTTTGCTCCGACTCCTGGTTGAGCCACATGTCTTGACCCCTCACCAACTTTGGGTAATCCATTAGGGATGCAGACTTGCTGCTTCCTGGGGTGTGACCTGTTTCCTGAAGATGTAAGCTCAAAGCATACAAGGTACTGAACGACTTTTGACAAGAACACCGGTGAATTGTGTGCTTTCCTCCCATTTCAGCAGCAGCAGATTCATCTGGCAGCATGGGTGAGGTATGCCTGGAACCACCTCCCTTGTGCATAGGAGATACATCTGAAGCTCTTGCTAAGTCCTGTTTATCCAGATTATCTAATCGGAGATCAGACTTTGACTTGCCAATTCCTGGGCGCATATTTGTGTCATTTGTCAAGGACAGTGCATGGGAAGCTACTGCTGTCTTATGGATCATACTTGACTGCAATGGTATGACTGCAGAGCTGATTTGTGTGACAGTCCTAAAGGATAATCCCCACCGAATCGCTGCTGCAAGCTCTGAAGACTAGAGAAGCCATTTGTGGTGGAGGTGGTTGTGACAGGTGTGGACAAGGAAGCAAAATTTGTTGAAGCTGCAGCTTTGTTTGAGGATGTCTTATTTGGCTTTCTGGATAAGTCTAATGGCTGGTCATCATGCTGACCAGCATCTGGCAGTGAGTTATAATTCACGGATGCCTCCTGAGGACTGGGTGACATTTTTACCCTAGACATGAGTCCTAGTTGTATGGACGACATAACCGCTGCCATTTGAGGATCAAGACTGGTCAGTGACACAGTTGGTGATGATGCCACAAGGGGTGGTGATAGTTTGCTGGAATACTTGTATTTATTATTTCCAAGATTAGAACCACACATAGCAGATGAAGAATTCCAAGAAAAAGGCCTCTCCTCTTTACCAGATGAGGAAGAGGAGGTGATATCTTGACTACTGGACGATGCAGATTTTCTCATGTGTGTATCACTATCACATTTCCCTGCCTTGGGTCCAGCACTGTACTTCTGAGAACTGCTGTCTTCCAGTTGATGTGGAGTTTGATTACCTGCCCTGTCTACGCACTGGTAAATTAATGCCTGGTTATCATTTCTGGTGATGTATGGCCTATTCACTGTCTCTAAGATCATGAAGGGGCTTATCTGTTTGCTGGTCAGATATCTTCTCTTCATCTGAAGCTGTGTCTCCTTCCTCTTCCTCATCTTCCTCATCACCTTCTCCTGCTGCACTGTCTGAAGCCACTTGACTGGGGTTGACCGTTTGTTGGTTGGTCAAAGTGCTTCCAGCTTTGTCTGTGCCTGAAACAATCAAACAACAGATGGTCAATCATTCAATGCAATGGTTGTTTTCACAATGTGTTCTTGCTATAAATTTAACTCATTAGGTTCTACTTCATGCTAACCCCTGTAGTTACACTATCCACAATGTAGCAACTGTACTTTAACTTGTTCTCTCTCAAACTACTATTATTTTAAGTTATTCTGACCCAAACATTTATAAAGTAACAACTTTCTAGGAGATAAATACATTATATGTGCTTGTTACTGAAAGACTCAATAAGGACACATGCAATACTTTGCAAATTTTGTTGCCTGGTTTTTTTTTTAACAGTATCTTCTTCGTAAACAGAACAGTCACATGAATCATCTAAGACTTTCAAGCCGATCATATGGGTAATCTTTGACTTCCCTTGGTAAGAGGTACGGTATAACAAGAGACAATGTGATGAGCTTATTCAGGAGATAATAAAAGGAAAGCAGGGATGGGGAAGATGGAGCATCAATGGGTTTTAGCCTTGTTTAAGTGAGCAATAATAATTATTTATTATTAACAGGTGTAAAAATAATAAAAATGTGTAAACAAATACCTAAAAAGAGAAAAAGCACTCAGCCCCCTTGTACATTTCGGCAGGGCGTTTGGGCGCGGAGAGGAAAGGAGGGTGGGGGGAGCTCAGTACCTCTAAAAAGGGGAGGGTAAAGTGCCTGGTACCTTGTGTGTGTATTCTGGTCAAAGGGCTCATTTGTGTATTGCATACGTTGATATAACCCTGTATTAATGCATCTAATGAGATACAGTGAATTAATCTTGTCAATACATGATGATGCAATATTTTTTTTTTTTTATCTCTACATTATAAAAATTCCCAATACGCCTTGGAAAAGGGTCCTTTACTGACTTAACATTATATAAATTAAGCAGCTGCTGGGAGACTATTCCAGGCCATAAACCGAGGGTTTCTTAGCAAAAAAGAAATTGGGAAGAGGATGAAAATGGTTGTTTACTGCTCTACCTATGTGCCAGTCCTGACCTATGGGTGTGAATCACGGGCAATTACAACAGCTCACAGAAGCCAGCTTCAGGCCTCAGAAATTAGACATCTGAGAAATGTGGTCCAAGTGACAAGAAGGGACAACGTTCACAATCAGACAATACATCAAGATCTTGAACCCAGTCCTTACAAACCCGAGTGGATCAGTCACAGTTACGATTGTCTGGACATGTATGCAGAATGGGAGAAAATCGGCCACTATGGCAGGCATGGGAACCAGACCTCCAAGGCAAGCCAGGGTCCGCTGCGAAGACAAGACAACACCCGACAGTCCCTAAGTGGCAGAGGACTGGAATGGAACAAAGCCAGAAATAAAACTGCTGATAGAGACGTCTGGTGATTTCTCTGGCAAACCTCTACACCCCAAGACAGAAGAGGAACCACTAAGTAAAGTAAATTATATCAATTATTGTTGTAGCACAACTGCTGACGTTATATATGAAAGACATAAACAAGCTGACCCTGTCTGGTTCTGCAACTGGTTGATAAAAGGAGCACTTTTATGTACCCTGGTCGCTCAAAGAGTGCCGCCCCCCCCCCCCCCCCCCCGGCACATTGAGGCCCCTTAACATAAACATTTGACTACAAGACCACAACAGGCAAAAATGCTCAGGTTGATTCTGCGATGTCCCGTAAAGAACATGCAACTAATTTTTGTTTTTAAACCTTTCATAAAATCTCAAGCACATGATTTTATTTATTAACCATTTACCAAATAATAGTAAAGTAAAGATCCCCTTTCACGCCTTTAAGCGTATCGGGTTTATGGGAATGGCGCCCATATTTTTACAGACCATCGGCACTAGGTGGGTAATGTGGTCAGCATTACGCCGGCCGTCTTTACCTCCCCAGGACAGCCATCCTGGTACCCATTTAAGGCTGGGTCGACCTGCGACGCCCCATACCATGACAACAATCCACGCAGCCAGCAGTGGGTTTCGATTGCGGTATGTTGGATATAGCACATAATGATAATAATGATCATTAACTAATATTATGTTTGCCATATTAAGCACCATGAGCGCCCCCATCTAGAAAATTATACGACCCCCCCCCCCCCCAACCCAATGATTTGTTTGTGTGTTTGTGTGTGCTCGCTCGCAGGTGTGTATAGTAGAACCCCTGATGAGTGTTTCAGTTTTCTTCCACAGATCACATTCAGAGGGTCTCAGCACACTGCCCAAGCATCTCACAGAATTCAAGTAGCTCTGAACCAGTACGTCCTTCTTCATTTGATGTCTTTCATTTCTTGTGCTTCAACAAATTGATGGCTCATCCTTTGTCTATTAACCAACTGGTGGCACCTGTGGGTCGCGACCTGTTATGGGGTCGAACGACCCTTTCACAGGGGTCGCCAGAAATCATCGCAAAACACATCTTTATTGAAGTTATGAAGTAGCAACGAAAATAAGTGTTATAGCTGCGGGTGGCCACAACATGAGAAACTGTATTAAAGTGTCGCGGCTTTAGGAAGGTTAAGAACCACTGCTCTAAAGGTATTCATCTTCAGCAACGCCTTCTCTAATATAGAAGGCCGTGATCTTTAGCTACTCGTCTCGCGATCTAGCAAAGGCCTTCAGCCAATGAAGAACTAAGCCCTTTTAGAGATATGCTCTTGACTGGTCATGGTTTTCGTTTTTCTATAGGATGTAATAGTCGACTTACTGGGGACTTCCTTTAAAGTCGAAGTCCATCTGCCCGAGAGGCAAGGAATCAACAGTTTGCACACAAATCTGTAAAACGAATGTGCACGCAGACTCAGTTTCTGGAATAAGACTAAAGTCCAGAGGTGGACAAAGAACCAGAACTTTCCACTGAACTTACAACCTGTAGACGCGAAGAAGAAGAAGAAGAAGAAGAAGAAGAAGAAGAAGAAGAAGAAGAAGAAGAAGAAGAAGAAGAAGAAGAAGAAGAAGAAGAAGAAAAGGAAGAAAAAGAAGAAGAAGAAGAAGAACAAGAACAAGAAGAAGAAGAACAAGAACAAGAAGAAGAAGAAGAAGAAGAAGAAGAAGAAGAAGAAGAAGAAGAAGAAGAAGAAGAAGAAGTAGAAGAAGAAGAAGAAGAAGAAGAAGAAAAAGAAGAAAAGGAAGAAGAATAAGAAGAAGAAGACTACTGAACAATGTTACCGTGACACCAGTTTATTACTGAAAATATTCAGAGCCAATTTACAGCTACTAAACATTTTGTTTGTAAAGAAACCATTTTATTACTACTGGAAAAATACTATACGAAATCAATTTACAACTACTGAAAATGGAAGTAAAACATTACAACTACTCAAAAATTTTACACAGCGCCAGTATACTTAAAAAAAAAAAAAACTGTTTACAGCTACTGAAAAAAATATTAGAAGAACCAAATTTACAATTACTGACAATTATTAAATGCGCCCTATATCAATTATAATTCTCGGCCCTGTTTACCTTTTTTTCTTTTTTTAACTAGACCTCAGCTCTCACTTTTTTTGCCAGTTTCCAGTTTATCCAAACAATTTAGCCGGAGACGTTAAAGAATAGAATTAAACAGGAGCAAACAATAGCCGTTATTGATTTTGTTTGGTCTGTCTTGCCTCCTGCTGTCGGCCGACAAACTGTGTGTGTGTGGGGGTGATGGTGTGAGTGTGCGTTGTGCGTGTGCGCGTGAGTGTATGCCTGCCGGTCTACGCTGGGATTAGGGGGTAGAAGGAAAGAAAACAGACTAGCTGACAATGTCACTTTGATTGATGACTCCACAACTGACAGCCGCGTTCAAGATAATAATTCGCTTTACTTCTATTTTTTCCCCCCGCCAACTTCCTCCTTGTTTTCGTTTTTAACATGGTCTCGCTTTTTTACTCTCAGAGGTATCTCTGTTTACAAAATACGATTCTTGTGAGCATTCTTCTGTTGCTAGAAGATTTTGTAAAAAGATATATTGTTGTTTTACCTCCCTCCTGTCATGGCTCCGGCCACCACACTTTTTTTAAACGTCCAGTAATGTAAGTATAATCATAGCACATTCCAGCGTTTGTAATTAAGACTTAGATGTAAAAAAAAAAAAAATTTTTAATTACAATTATTAACTATGAAATGATGTACGAATGAGTAACTGTATGCAAGGACTGGATTGGAATGGCAAAATGTTAGACGGGCCTGCGTGCCCAATTCTTAACCCTTTAAAAATAATGTTTGTTCGTACTGTCTTTCTGTTCTGGTCCTTACCCGCACAAGACTACAGGTTACTCCGGACTAGTGTAGCCGTGACGGCTGCCCTAATTTAAACGGGGGGGGGGGGGGAGGTCTGCCTTGTTGGTCTGCTGTCTAGATTTACATTTTTGTTTCAATCTCAGGATGGTATGGTAACAGTCCGGAGGAAACAGACTGATCGATTGATCTATTCATCTACTTACATACATTTGTCACCACAGCACATCTATATGTCCTATTATGCGCCTTCTTTACACACACATACCCCCCCCCCCCCCCCAATCGTCCCATTTGCACAAAAAAAAAAAAAAAAACTTGTGAACAAATAATTGGTCCCGGCACAATTCAT